ACACACACACACACACACACACACACACACACACACACACACACACACACACACATCAAGATACTGGAAATGTTATGCTGAGATTTTGGTCCATATTGACATTATAGCATCTGCAGATTTGTTGGCTGCACATCCATGATGCGAATCTCTCGTTCCACCACATCCCAAAGGTGCTCAATTGGATTGAGAGCTGGTGACTGTGAAGGTCATTTGAGTACAGTGAACTCATTGTTATGTTCAAGAAACCAGTCTGAGATGATTTGCATTTTACACCATTACACCACCACTACCAGACTAAACGTTGACAAAAGGCAGGATGGAACCATGGTGTCATGTTGTTGATGCCAAATTCCGACCCTACCATCTGAATGTCGCAGCAGAAATCGACACTTCTCAGACCTGGCAAAGTTTTTCCAATCTTCTATTGTCTGGCCATTCTACTGTCTGGCCATTCTCCTCTGACCTCTGGCATCAACAAGGCCACAGAACTGTCTCTTACTGGATTTTTTTTCCGAACCATTGTCTGTAAACCCTAGAGATGGTCGTGCATGGAAATCTCAGTAGATCAGCAGATTCTTAAATACTCGGACCTGTCCATCTGGCACTAACAACCATGTCACGTCACCATAAATCACCTTTCTTCCCCATTCTGATCATCTTGACCATGTCTACATGACTAAATACATGGAGTTGCAGCCATCTGATTGGCTGACTAGAAATTTGCATTAACGTGCAGTTGGACAGGTGTACCTAATAAAGTGGCCAGTGAGTGTATATCATTAATTAATTACCCAATGAATTGCATTTTATTAACGCCTTTCCCAGCCTTCACAGAACATAAAAAAATAGTAATTGTTGTAGTGTCACAAAAGTTATGCTATAATGTTTTGCCTATCCACGGCTGTATCCCTTAAAGACTTTACTGGAAGGCATTGAGGCATATCGACACTTTGTACAAAATAATTAGGATACACCAATAGTGGACTACACAATTGATCAACACTCTTACTGCAATATGCATCGAATTTCTCATTCACTTTTTAAAAACGAATAAAAATATGACAAAAATACGCAAATTTTGTTTTAGTTGTATTATCGGGTGTCTGTTTTGATGTTAGCATTTTAAGCTAAAGCTTAAAATGATGGAAAAATTCAACTTTGTTATTGACAAATCAAGTTAAACAACAGTTGGTCACGAAATCAACTGTTCCCTGTCAAATGTAAGCATTTTTGCAGTAGTTTACATTCATAGATATATACATTAGATATGGCATAGGGACCCTGAGCATGCGTCAATAGCGCCGCCACATTGGTACAGTGCTCCCAGGACAAATGTCATTCAACGGCACTAGTCAAGACAGTGTTATAACGTGAAGATGCTGGACTTTAGCGCTGTCTACGGGTGTAGTAACGAGCAAACAAAGAAAACAAAGCACAAAGGCAGAACATTTCATAGGTAATATTTAGTTTTTTTCTGTTTTTGTATGAACTTTTGTGCTAATCAGGTAACGTTCTTGATGATAACAGTCACTTACTGCATTCACCATAAGGCAAAGCAGCTCCAACTCACACTAAACACTCGGCTTATGCTAGTTTTGTTGAATAAAATCAGCAAACAATGCAAAAGAAATATGACAACGAGATGCTGCGCTGCCAGAAACTTGTATTATTGTCGGTTAGCGAAAAAGTCGTTCGGGGGGATTCATTCACAAACGAATCGCTCCCTCCGTCAGTATGAGAAGTGAACGCAGGAGAGGAGGTGTGTTTCAGGACATGATCAGATCAAATTTAACAGGGAAGGGTGGATAGTACATTTCTGTACACACAAACACAAGCTTTTTTGTCAGGAATGCCCGTGCGGTCACTGATCCATCAATAAAATAAAAAAAAAAATTACATACTAACATCCAGGAAAACTCCCGATCATAGATATATGTGTATATGTGTATATCTCTGGCTTTGGATGGCCACAGTCCTCCACTGTACCTTGGTCCCGCATTCATTTCAAAGGAGCGCTACCCTGTAGCAAGATGGCGGCGCTGTTGACGCATTCCGTCCAATAGACAACAATAGGACAGGCAACATCTAATGTATATATCAATGGTTTACACTAATAATAAATCCAGTTTACTGTAAATCATAGGTCTCAAACTCAATTCCTGGAGAGCCGCAGCTCTGCACAGTTTTGCTTCAACCTTAATCAAACACTGCTGACCTAGTAGTGTCTAGTCATCT